ATTTCGTCAAATGTGTCATTTTTGTTGGAATCATGAAGAATTCGGTTTTATGGTTATTGATAAAAGTTCGGAAATGAATAAAGGTAGATATAGGTGTGGATTTCATAAGTTTATAGTAATATAACAATATTGATTATAGTATCATCTATAAATACCTATTGATTATAGTAACACCTTTCATCAAAATCATAAAAAAAAATGTAAAGTCATATAAATACTACATCATTTTAAATTTCAATTCAGTCCGTTAAAATGGATAACGAGGACGTATTGATTAAAAACTTAATTTCATCTAGAAAAAATATAAAACGAAAAATTATGGAAATGAAAAGAGGGGTTATTGAGACTGACAACTATTTTCGTGAAACGTTCAAGCCGATAATAGAACCTCTAAAATCAATTGAAGGAAAAAAAAGTGAAACAAAATCAGATAATATTAGTAATACCGCGACTGATAAAATTGAGGACGCTGATGAAGATGTTGATCAAGTTTCGGAATTTTTTAATTTTTTTAGTACAGCTCCACGGCTTAGAACTTACGATAAAACATTTGGACTACATTATGATGTAGCTAACGATCAGTGTAAAATAGGTAATTTTCCTGTAAGTTTCATAAACAATCAATTACGTGTTGGTGATAAATATTTTCCATGGACATCAGGTCTTTGGTCTTTGTTATGTGAAAAAAATCCTAAAGGTATAACTTACAGCGATGTTGAAGCATATTTTGAAATTTTAAAATCTACAAAAGTTCATCTAAAAGCTGATGGGAAACCTAAGGCAAATAGTTTCTTCAAATGGACCAATATTATAAAACCTTTATATGAACGTATGAAAATAGAGTTAAATAATGAATTGTTAAATACGTACCATGTGGCACCGAAAAAACCTACATTAGAAAAATTAGATTTATCTAAATTTAATAAGCATTTATCAAGTAGAAAGGTTAAAAAAGTTAGTGAAAATATTAATCCATCTTTAAATAATGAATCTTTCACATTTTCACCACCATGGTCCGGTAAAAATAGCTCTGTGGATGAGATGACTAAATTTGATCAACCACTATTAGCTAGTAAAAAATTTGGATCGGGATTATATAAAGATGTTTTACCTTTCACTCAGATAGTGTACTACGACGATCCTAATGAATTAGTTACTAGGCTCAATCTATTGTCTTCGTCAGAAGGAGCTGGTAATACTGGTGTTCATAATGAAATTATATCGATTTTAGAAGAATTACGGGAAAGAAATCTAATAGTATAATGAGTACCTTAGAACAAATTGCATACGAACTACATCGTCCAGCAAGAAAAAAATTTCCTCGTCGACATGTCTTAACTAGGTTTAAAGACGATCTTTGGCAGGCTGATCTTATGGATATGCAATCACATTCAAAAAAAAAATAATGGTTTTAAGTATATTTTAATTGTTATAGACACATTTACAAAATATGTATGGGTTGAACCTTTAAAAAATAAAACTGGATTAAATGTTGCAAAAGCAATGGGTAATATATTAATAAAGTCTCGACCTAAATTATTACAAACAGATAATGGAACGGAATTTTATAACACATACTTTAAAAACTTAATGCAAAAGTATAAAATTAAACATTACTCAACATATAGCAATATTAAAGCAGGAATGGTGGAGCGAGTGATAAGAACGGTAAAAGGTAAAATTTATAAACACTTTTCATCATCAGGTACTTGGAATTGGTATAATGTAATTTTAAAATTAGTAAATAATTACAATCACACTAAACATAGTACAATACACTGTAGTCCGAATCAAGGGAGGTCTGAACCAGCTTCCATAAAATTAAATACATCACAAATAATAAGAAAAAAACCTAAATTTAAAATTAATGACAAGGTAAGAATATCAAAATATAAACATCAGTTCAGTAAAGGTTATAATCCAAACTGGACTACAGAGATTTTCACAATTTATAAAGTTTTAAATACAAATCCAGTAACTTATCAACTAAAGGACAGTTTAAACAATACAATATTAGGCTGTTTTTACAATGAAGAAATAAAAAAAACCTGTTACCCCAATACATTTCTTATTAATAATATTATAAAAAAACAGAAAAATAAATCTTATGTATCATGGCTTGGTTTTGATTCGTCACATAACTCGTGGATATCATCATCAGATATTGTAAAATAATTCGAACGAATTATTTATAACACAAGATGATTATACAATTAAAATATTATACAATAAAATGAATAAATCTATGTTAAAATTTCATAATCTTAATAAAATGTAAATCTAATATTTTCAAATAATAAAAAGTAAAAATGTAATTTACATATGTGTTATTTTATTTTCATTTCGGTGTCAGCTATATAGATAATTAAATTTTATATTATCATAATAACTAAGTATTTTTTAATTTATAATGCCCATATGGAAGCGTACAAACACCTCCTTTTAATATAACTCTCTTGTCGTCATTTGCACTTAAAACGACTTTACTTACAGATTTTGAATACACTTGATGTTTGGTTGATTGAATTAAATTTATGTTATGATTCTCTATTATCTTACTACTATCACCTCCTACAGTATTATTTTCGTTTTGATTTATAAATGAATATAAAATATTTTTATAATTGTCAAAGGCATCTGTTTTTTCACAATATATTTTTTAACACCTTTCGCTCTTTTATATTCATCACCGTTCACTGTGTAAGCATACAATTTAGAGCGCAACGATACAAATTCGGTCATTATTCCACTTTTTAATTCATCTTTGAAATAACCAGGTATGCTTTCATTATTAGAATTGAAACAAGAATGATTATGCGGATAATTGGAGGTGTCGAAATGTTTTAGTAAATCATATTTTAAATCATTGAAAAAATCATTTGTTTTTATGCGGTATAGTAATGAATCTGTGTCAGTATAAATCAATGATATATTTTTATCATATTTATTTTTCATTATATTATAATGAAAATCATAAATTATAGTTTTTGAAATATCTAAAATTGTTAAACCAACGTAAATAGGTTTATCAAATTTAATTTTTCCTTTAAACATATGAATCGCCATAAGGTTATTAGAGTAAATTGTGCGATCTTTAAAATTTGGTTTTATGAGATATCTACAAGCCATTTTGTCGCTTGTAACTAATTTTATTTCCATTCTTTTCCGTGGATTCTCCATACATTTTCCGTAAACGCTATTTACCATCAATTTCCAAAATTGATGTTCAAATTCGTTATTGGCCTTCACTCTCATACTTGTACATTTCATTACGTATGGTAACATCCATTTTGATTGCTTAAATCTAATTACTCTATGTATTTTAATTATTTTTAACCCATTATTCACCGCTTGTTTTAATGTTCTATAATGTGCCACATAATTTTTTTTATGATGTAAAGTCGTAAGAAGCTTTTTAACTTTTGAATTAGGTGGACACGAATTTTGTGGTAAAAATGGTAAATCACTATGTGCATCATGAATGTTTTCAGGATAATCCACGTCTACTTCTAATATAAACCCATACGGACCATTATCGTCTATCATCATAATATTTAATGAAAAATCACTATACCATTCAAAGTCTTTATATGGTAAACTAGCAAGCATTGATTTCCCATATAAATTTACACAATCAAAATAGGATAAATATACATTAGGTTTTTCTTCATCATACCCGTCCACATTCGGCAAATTTGCTTTAGCATATCGTCTCACTGACTGGCAAATACCTCCTCGAATTCCGTCCTCAATCATTAATAACATGGTGTAGTCTTTTAACCTCTCGAGTTCGACTTTTGTAAATCGCAGCATTGCGTCAAAAGCGAAACTTGGTGCAGTTAAATAATACGATGCATCCAAATTAAATGTTTTTAAACAAATGTCACGGAAATTTTCGAAGACATCGGACAACAGTAAAATGTCTGTTAATAAATATAAATCACTATATTCACCTATCGTTTTTATATTAAATTTTTTCCAAACTTCGCATGCATGAATATAATCTTTTTTAGAAATATGATCATCTGTTAATGAGTTATAAAACTTAGATTTCGGTGGTAAGGAAGTTTCGTTAAGTTTTTCCCAACAATTGATATACTCATAAGGAAAAACTCCTTTACGAATAACTAAATTTAAATTATTATTGGAAAAATATTTTTTAGTTTCACGGAATTTTGATTTATCTTTAGCTAAATTATTAGTTAAATTAGCTAACGATTCAGACATAAATCTAAATGTGTCTACAAACTTTACATAAAAACCATCTTTAATTTGTTTGCTAAAAGTAATATATTTTTCACATGAATTTGGAATAACGTCAATATTCATATCATCGTAACCGAGTTCATGTATAATGAAATGACTATCATATGATAAATTGTGGAAATAAACAGGAACAAACGAGGAACTTTGTGCCAAAAAATTACACTCAACACAAAGCGGTCATAAATATTTACCTGTTAAATGAGAGTGATCTCGCACTTTTTTTATAGAAATATGGTCAAACGTTTTTGAACAATGGTGACAAGTTGTTGCGTGTTTATACTCAATTTCTTCCGCCTTTGTTAATTTTATCATACCGTAATTAGTTTTATATAAATTACTAATTTTCATCGAAACATCAACTATTGATGACATAAATTTTTTTGCAGCGTTTTTTCCTCTATAAATTACTGGTTTTGTAGGAATTTTAAATTGATTAACTAATTTTTCAAGCCCAAGATCGTTAGAAATTTTTACGTAAAAACCATAACTCATAGGCTTATGATGATGTGTTATCATAGTTTTTGTTTTTGTTTGATCTTTAACTGGAACCAATAAACATTCAAAATCTGCATAAATCACAATTGGTATTCGATCCGCGCGATTAAAATGAGAAAACTTAATAAATTCATCATCATGTGGCTCTACCATAACTGGTGCACATAACTCACGATTTTCACAAACCAATTTATGACGATCGAGACCAAGTAGACCCCAAGGTTTATTTTTATTTGGCCTATTACTAAAAGTAGTAAAACATCGTTTGCAAATTATTAATTTAGATGAGTGTTTAGTTCGTTGGGCACGGATTAAACGTGAAAAATTATGTATAAAACTATAATGTGATGATTTTTCATTACTTGAGAAAAACAAATCAAAATGGTCTGACTTTTCATTTTTACTAACACGAAGGGGATAAATGAGACCGCTATCGTCAGCACTATAAACATTAACAGTTACATTATTGATTTTTTCAAATTTGGTTATTTGTTTTAGCGGTGTAGGAAAATTTATACAGTTAAAATTAAGACCACTATTTTTTTCTAAAAAACTAAACATTTTTTTACTGAATTTCGATTTATTTAAATTTTTATTAAATTTTGATAAAATAGCATATTTAAAACATTCGTTGTCACTATTTTTAACATTTATAATTGCTTTTTTATCAACAATGGATTTTTGTAATTTTATGAAAGTGGAACCTCCCAATAAATTAATTTTATTTGTCCGTAGCTGTATGCCGTCCAAACTAATTAATCTCCATCCAGATCCTTTTATTAAAAACGATTCTTGTTCAATCAGTAGTTTATTAAACATATCGTTTAAAAGTTTTTTGAAATTAGACGCAGAAAAACAAACAACATTTTTGGTTTTAAAACCAACATCACGTATTTCACCCGTTATTATGTTTTCGTAAACCGAATCAACAAATAAATTAAATTTTAAAGATGACAAAGAGCATATTTCTTTAAGCTTACAAGTTAATACTGAAGAAGCAAACTTTAAAAACGATAGTAAATCAATAAAATTATTATTATTTTTAAGAAAAAAAGTTTTTGATCGAGTATTTTTAAATTTTTCTATTTCAAT